TCTTTGAAGAAATATTCCACCTTGATAAAATGGATACGAGTGACGTGATCGAACAAAAATGTGAATATTGCTTTCAGTCAATCTTGTCTCCATCCACATCCACCATCACCTGCATCGATAGTTATGCATGTCCTTAATAGAGTATTTGTCGGAGATATTTCTCAAGGAATTATCGAAATGATATTTAAAAGAAAAGGTGTTCTGATACACGTAAAAAGCAAGTAATAATATTTTGTTCCTTTTTTTCGTTCTTATGTAAACAGCGTATGTTTATGACATCATACCTAGTTTGAAACGTAGAATATTTAGATGAAATTGAAAAGAAAGAAAAAAAAATTAATTTTTGTCCGATTATCAAGAAACTATGTCCATATTATCATTATATAAGAACTGAATTATTTTGAGTGAGAAATAGTTCATTCCTGTATATTTTATTGAAGTCAATAGAAAAACGCTTACCTGGTATCGATGGTAGCTGTCTAAGATCCTATTGAATCGTTCACATACGTTTCTCATTGAGCATATAAGTGTTAAATCCGATTCACAATCCAGAATTCGATAAACAAGTTCTACCGGTAACGTTAGGAAGTTGGTGACAATTTGATTTACCATTCTAGACTGTTTATGAAACGTGTACTGCGTAGGCTTATATGTTGGTTATATGATGTGTTATTTTTTTTCTTTCGATTAAATGAGTAGGTGCTTGTTTTGCCATAGGTTTCGCATGATGTTGCAATTACTTGTTGAAACAGAACGAAAAACAATGCTGTCAATTGCAGAATGACAGAATTGCCATAGCAACTATACCCAAAGTTTTTGTTACTATAGTTATATCGATATAATCAGCAAAGTTTGAATGAATTTATTTTTTATTTATTTTTATTCAAGCTGTATTGTCATTTGATCTTAAAATCAAATATACATATTTTATAAGATGGTACAGAATTTGATCTGTTGTTGAACAAGTTTATCTCAAATATTAATATTTTCTCCATATACTAATATTTTTTTAAATACGATTACTTACAGAAATATTTATTTTATACTACAGGTATTTTGAAAAAATGTATTTCTCTTTTTTTAGGAGCAGCAAATAACATTATAAATAAAAATACTGCAGTTTTTGTTCTATTAGAAATATGAAAATCTTTTTTATAGTATAAAAATTTTCTCTCGATTAGTTTATATCCGTTTCAATTGGGAAAAACACAATTTTGACTTTTTCAGATTTCGAGATAATTAAAACGAAGAGAAAAGGTAAAAGTTGTTAGGTACCACTTTTCTCTAACAACGGTTGTACAGCTGAAACTGCAGCTGGTAATAGATAATGATTTATTCGTGTTCTTTCAACATATGTTAGTTTAAATTATCCCAAATGTTAAGAAATTTGTAAAAACCCTAAAATCGTGAATTCGAAATATCGCATTTTGCAGACGAGTCTCGACTCGAGCGCCATCTAGTTTTGAATTCGATACTATTAAAGTTCAGATGCAATCGTATCGCAAGTAGTCTAAATGATGTCAGTAAAATTGATCTTGATTTTGGAAATGTACTTCCTAACAAATTTAATGATTATACTTCAGTGTTCATTTAAAGTAGTACTTAAAACTGAATATCTCTGTCCGGATAAGCCATCAGCAACTCACATTTTAAATTTAGTAGTTTCTCAATGACTCTCATCATTTGCACCCCAAACGGTCTTACATCTCGTTTATCAGCACAGACCGTTCTATTCTTAGTGAAATTAAACAGATGACAATTGTTCATCTAACGCTTATTAATATTACTTAACTTCAAATACTGAGTCTTTAGCTTAAATATTTGAATAATAAATGATTTTATTTAGTTTTACTTCATCAATCAAACATTCTCACTTTCATGCTATTGTAATGACAAAATGTTTTGTAGTATTGACCCTGTAGGATTGCATTATCTAATCAAGAATCAAATGTATAAACTTCTTTTTTATATATGTAGCACTAGAATTAACATGATTGAATAAAACTAACAATGCCAATGTATGTTATTAAAAAACAGCATGAAAGAAGGAAGGAAGAGATATATAAACTAGTAATTAGTTATAATATATAAAATTATGAGAAACTTGGTCAATTTTTCTTTCTTTTTATTATTTTTTTTATCGAATTGATGTACTCAAAAATCTTCAATCTTCTAATGTGATACATCGTCAATATTATCTTATTTAATTTCGTTTGTTCAATATCCGATCATAATACGGGAAGTTTTACAGTACAAGAAATCTGTATTATACATAAAAGATAACGATTATTATTTACACCTCCAAGATTTTCTATCGTGTTACATTATCCTGATGTAATTCTCCTATAGAATATTTCAACCAACTTATAAATAGATAAAAATATTTGAAAAGAAGATTATTATGCATGTATCGAAATAAGAATAATTCATTTTATATTTTACTTTTAATGTTTGAATATGAAGGTTATAAACAGCGTAATTCAATTTATTTTTATCCTTCATATTAATTTGATTTTAATATTCTGGTATAAAACTAATAACACATCTTATACTTCCTTTGAAACCCTATCAAAAATTTCTTTTGATTTCGCAAGACAAACTAATCTATATACATAAATACACATATCGACCTATCATTTAAACATATTGTTTTACGTGCTGATTACTTTTTTCTCTTCTCTTTTGTGTAGGTATACATGATGAGAATATTTAAACTTAAGAAACATGATAAACATTCATTGTGTCAATCATTCTTACGTGCGTTTTTGATGTTAATATAAAAGAAAATTTTTGTTGTTGATGTCATCTTCTCCTCCTCGTTTAACAGTAGATCAACTTTTATAAAAGTAAAAATAGCTTCGAAACATGATTTCTAACTTTGATAAAAAAATAACCATATGGTTTCTTCTGTTTTACTTTAGGCTAAACAGCTTTTAATCATATTGAATCATTCACTCGTTAGTTCAAGAGTTCTTATCAAAAGAGAATGTTTAAATATATAAAAGATGTTCTTTTTCATATTCATATATGTCAAATATGAATTAAATATTTTTAACGACAGCTGCTGTCGTCATATTGTCATTTTTACAAGTAATAATGTCCTTGATTATAATATTATAAAGGGGATGTTAAAGATGATAACGATTGGTATTCTTTTTCATGGTCATAAAGTGACAACTAATCATTTATAAATATTGTTTCACTTTTCGAATACTAACAATATGCATTCAACTTTTTTCTTTCGATTAGCCGCTTGAGTATGTCTATGAATATGTACACACATATAGAAATATTATTGTTTATGTCTCGTTTTGTGTGTGTGTGTATATATAGCTGTAAGCGTAACATTGTCATTCTTTGGTTCAATCTTTTAACATCGTACGGTTCGTTGATCGATAAGACTTATTGAATGATGACAAAAAGAATCGATATTGACCTTTTTCTTTTTCGTTTTTATTTCAAATTTGTATTAAGATTAGTCAAAAATGATATGTTGTTTTTTTTGCATTGATGATACGTCGCGACACGAAGTTTCTCTTTCTTTTATATATACATACATACGTATATATATATATGACGCGTCATGTTGTCGGTATAAGGTCTTAGAATATGTGCGTGAGGTGAGATAGAGAGTAATCAACACCAGCAAAGTCAATTTGGCCCTGTACTATGATGAGCACGCACACGCACATACGAATATATATATATATATCTATTCCTTCTACATGCGAGCACTGTCGGGGTCAACAATCTTCTTCGACTTGCGTCCTTCTTTTTTTCTTCTTCATGAGATGAACTGGCAATGTGTCTGCATATCATTTCTTGTCTTGACATCGTTGGAACAGCTACTCAGTGCTTTTTGTTTACATACAAACTATTCTTCGCCGTCTCTGTCCTGTCTTGTAGATATTAATGATCGGCACAATAGAGCCGACGATTAAGGATGATCATCTATTTCAACTACGTCGATTCCTTGAACAAATAGAACTCGAAGAATATTATACTTTGATTGTCGAAAAGCTCAAGGTAAGAGAGAGAGAGAAAAAAAGAAGTGAAAAGAAAAAAATTGAAAGACGATCAAAATCAATCAGTAGTAGTACTTTTCAAAAAAAATTTTTTGATTAAAAAAGAAAAAGGCTAAATGAAATCTAAAGAACCTTATGACACATCATTTTTTTAATACTATGTCCAAATGGATAAATTATGGCAATGAGAAAAAAGATATGCGTGCTGTTCGAAAGGTAACTACTTAGTCATTAATAAATACTACATAAATATTTGGTAAGTCTTTTATTAGATCTATATGATTACTTGTGTATGAATAATTGTCAAATTCATTCAAAGGCTAATCTACTCTTTCTCACTCTTATATGTGTATTTTCCCTCGTGCTCAATTAGAAGCTCTACATATATCACATTGTTTATAGTAGGAATTTACTTAAACAAGAGGATAATTCATTTTGCACATGTTGTCTATTCACATGATGTCGACTATTAAGGGATAAAAACTAAATTGCAGACTTCCTTTGTCATCTGTATTCAATACATATATTTACAAAGACTTTGACCTTGGTAATCTTGAAAATCGAGATTACTTCTTTATTTTATTCGAGTTTATATATATATTCCTTCATCTCAAATGCTTTTATACACACATATATATTAATATGTATATACATATGAATTCAGACTAACTAGAAAGAAGACTAGCTGCCGCAACTACTGCATGCACACATACACATACAAACGCGTGCATGCTACAGCTGTATGATGTAACGAGAATTGACCGCAAAATTGCGTAAGAGCGATACATGAACATTTATTAGTATTCTTCATGATGACCAGTCCACTGAAATGCAAACAAGCTCTTTTACTTTCTCTCTGTCTCTCGTTTCTTTTCTTTACTTGGTAAGTATGATTGTCATTTTGTTTTCATTCAACAGGTGTATAGTATTGGTGATTTACGGTATGTCAACGAATCCGGTCTACTTTCATTAGGCATGTCTAAGCCACAATTTCGAAAAATTAAACGACACTTGCCATCATCATTTCATTCAACTCAAAGTAACAATACAATGTTGACAAGTACATTGGGCAAACTTTTAGTTCGAGTAAGTGCTACTGTTAAATGTAAATTATAAGTACCGACTAATTGATGTTCAAATGTAAATTGATATATGTTCAGCTACAATCATTTTTTTCCTTCTTCTTCTTCTTCTTCTTTTTCTCTTCGCGTTCATGTCGTTATCTTGTTCTTGTCTTTTCCTTTGACCGGCATCGCATTACTTCTTCAACGACCGTTCAGAGCTTTCTCATAGTAAAGAAGAAAAAAAAGCAGAATTTCTATTCGATTATCTTAGGCAACAGCAGTATTAGTAGTAGTAGCAGCGGTCAGTTGCAATGGAAAACAGGTGGTCACTTCTACATTTATATAAAGTTCATCATCAATGTCCTTAATCGATGTAGACTAGTACAATCTTTTCTTTGATATATACATATATATATATTTATTAGAAACTAACACTTCGTTCATCAACATCAAACCTATCAAGAAGTACACTCGAACTGAACAGTAATTATGAACGACAGGGTTCTTCAATAACATCATTAAATCAACATACAACCATGGGTAAATATCAACAACAAAAAAATATCATATCACAACAAAATATTCAATTGATTGAACAAATTGGTGAAGGAGAATTCGGAACAGTCTATAAAGCATTTTGGAAAACAAAACAAAATGAATTAGTAAGAAATATAAAATTCCTAATCTTCAAAAGTCATGTTTCTTTTTTTGTATCATTAGTTAACTGTTGCTGTTAAACGTTTAAATAAACTTGAACAAAATTTTGGTCTTGATGATATATTAAAAGAAATATGTGTATTACAAGATACTGAACATCCACATATTGTTCAATTTTTTGGTATTGTTATACAAACCGATGGATTATTTATGCTTGTAAGAAATAACTAAATATTATTAAAAAACTAAATATCCGATGTTCTTGCTCTTTTAGGTAACAGAATATGCTCATTTTCGATCATTATATGAATGTTTATTATCCGAAAATGCTAAATATGAATATACAATTGAAATTTTACTTGAATTTTTAAGACAAATAACATTAGCAATGAGTTATTTAGAAAAGAAATTTTTAATCCATAGAGATTTAGCTAGTAGAAATATTCTTGTTTTTAATAAATCACTTGTAAGTTTATTTTTCTATTTAACAAAAAATATGTCTTTTTTTAATTAAAGGTTAAACTTTCTGATTTTGGTCTTTCTCGTCTATGTTGTTCAGAAACTAATTATTATAAAACATCATGGAAAGATACATTACGTTTACCAATAGCATGGATGAGTCCAGAAGCAATTAATTTTCTACGTTTTACAACAGCATCTGATATGTTTTCATTTGGTGTTTGTATGTGGGAATGTTTTACTTATGGACAAATGCCATGGCAAGGAATGACAAGTGCTGAAGTAATTTAAATATTTCTTTCTTTTTTTTTTATTTTATCATAAGAAATAGATATAGTTGTATCGTAATGCATTGTTTTTTATCATTTTAAAGGGTATCAATCCTTTCGAAGAATGGAACTTAGTAAATGACATATCACGTAGATGATTTTTTGACATTTAAATGAATCATGAAATAATAAATCTTTTTATGATATCATTGAAAAATGTAAGAAAAATAGAATCAGTTTGATTGAGAATAAAAATTCAAAAATAAACTATTTCTATATCCCTAAGGAATTCTAATAAATCATAGGAGAGAATTGTGTCGTTTATTTTTTTATTCGCTAGATTGTCAATGCCATTGATGCTCCTAATTATCAACGATTACCACGACCTCCTTACGCTACAACAGAGCTCTATCAAATCATGCTTCATTGTTGGAAACATGAACCAACCGACCGGCCAACATTTACACAACTAGAAAAAACTCTACGAGAAGTAATGACACACATATTAATGAAGAAATAAAATATTGATATATTCTTTTTGAACTTTAGATTGAAATAAAGAAAGTTCGTTGGAAAGATAAAAATTGTAAATCAATAAATTTTCCCGATGGTTTCCTTTCGACAGAATCTTGTATACTTGGACCATTGACTATCCTCGATCGATGGTATGTATATGCATCAAATTTCGACAGCCTAGTACATACGATAAAGAAAAGAAGAAGAAAAAGAAGAAGAAGAAGAAGGAGAAGAAGAAGAAAAAATGAGAGAAATGGTTGAAAGGCAAAGCAAACGGTAGTATATATATATACACTCGTGCTCGGAATTCATCGTTACATAAACACGCTCTCTATTTCTTCTGATGTGTATGTATGTATGCAAACGGGCCGGGGTCATTTGTTTTATGATGCGACGCACTACCTGTTATACACTCTCATTGATTGCTTGATCAATCGATCGTTTTTGTATCCTTGAGTCGCCATGTTGATAATCGTGAGAGAAGAAAAAAAAATGGCAAAAGATTCAATTTCTCAATTAATGATCAACATTGCTTCTGCTTCATATACATATACATATATATATTCTTCTTTTCCATTCGTTCTTCTATTCGTTTCGTTCATTTAGACAACATCTCTTTTTTTCTCTCTTTTTTCTTCACTCTTCCATCTGTTCTAGTCTTAACGTTCCCATATCATCGTCATCGGTCAATAATTTTCTTCAGTGTGTATCTGTAGACGGTCAAATCGGTTTCGTTTATAATGCAGATGTTGAACCATTACATGTTATTTCAATATCTAAACCATTAATTTCTTCAACAACAACAACAACAAAAACTAATAATCATCATCATCATCATCATTTAACACCATCAACAATGAGTAATTTTTTTCATCGAAAATCAGGTTAATTGTTTGTATTAATCTTGTGTTTGTCTTATTGTTATTTTGTTATAATAGATGCAAAGAAAAATTTAGGAAAAATCAAAAGTAAACAATTATCAAAAGATATGATTGGTTTGCCTCAAGCAGATTTTATTCATGCATTTCATATTGGTGTATCAGGTATTATAATTATAATGAAATCAATTTGAAAAAAGAATGTTAATTTTCTTTTTTGTGTCTAGGTGAAACATTTGGTGATGTTGCTTGTCTTGCTGGTGTAGAAAAAACAGATTTAATTAAAATTCCTATTGAAAAAAGTCCATCAACTATAAATGGTAATTGTTTAATATAAAATATATTCAAATCCTTGAATTTCTATTTTTATGCTCATCATTGAAAAGAATTCGAATCAAATTATAAACAACCAATTATTGTTAATGAAGAAGAAAATGAAGAAATCATATCTATTGAACAATTAACAGTAAAATATTTTATTTTTTATCTATTAAAAATTGTTCATTTTTTTGTGTGTTTATAGAATGATACACAACCTTCATCTTTACTTGATGAAGTTATGCAAGCATTTACTGAAATATATTCTGAACCTGAATCAGCATCATATTTATCTATCGATAGTATTCCAATAAAATCACCACTAGCACTTAAACCTGAAAGAAGTCTATCAACATCACCAAAATCTCCAACAATTAATGTAAATTATAAATATTAATCATCTAGAGTATAGATTTTATTCTTAAAGAAAGGAAATAATATATAAGTACAATCTCATAATACTTAAAAGGTTAATTGAGAAGTACATTTCTTTTTACATAGGGAAATATTTGATTTGTCTAAAAAAGAACTTTCATTTTTTTTTTATTATAAGAGGTATAAAATTTAATTTGGTTATAAACCAAGGTCAATATATATTTTCATACGTTTATTTTATACAAGTATCTATATAGTGATTGAGTAGGAATATTGCTCCCGTTGTCGAGAAGTATTATGCAAAAAAAATGACATAACTTTAACGGATTCGTAATCAGAATGAAGTGAATGATCTTCAGAGAAACACTTTTCTTAGGATTCACCTATCGTTGACAAACAAATAGAGATTAAGTAATAGAATATGATTGAGTTCATTAAAACTACCATATGGTATATCAGCATCGATACTTATTCTTTATGGTTCATTACAGATATTTAATTGATATTGAAAAGAAAATATCATGGTATTTAAATTCTTTTTAGCTTAAATTATCAACATCAGTCGACATAAATCAATCTCCATCGGATACCATGATAGGTAATTAATAATAATATGATATAAAATAACAATTTTGTTTTGTTATTTAGATTCGAACAGTCGATTACTTGATCATAATCGTTTATTACTCAAATCTCCATTAAAAAAATCTAATGAAGAAACTTGTCGATTTACACGCGAACTTGAACAACGTTTACAAAATGGTTTGTTTGCTTATTTATTTATTTATCAATAATTTTTCATATTATATTTATATAGGTGATATAAGTGAAGAAGCAAAAAATGCGTATAATCGATTAGTTAATGGACGTAAAGAAGATAGTTCATCAATATTACATGAAGAAAATGTACATTCGACGAGTAATGGCGATTTATCATCAAATAATAATGAACATCAAAATGATATTAAACAATCATCTATTGATCATCATTCAGTAATACCATTATTTGGTTCATCATCATCATCATCTTCAACTAGTATATCAACTAGTTCAACAAGTAATCATATACAATCAAACACATCATCATCATCATCATCAAATAAAAAAAAATCTGATCGTCATTCACATTATTCATCAACATCAACTGATAATGATATTAGTATTGATCTTAAACCACAAAGTGAATTATCTCCATTAAAGTAAAATGAAATTTTTTTTTTTTGAATAAAAAATTATTGTTTTGTTTTCTTAAAGACTTTTAAGAAATGCTGTGAATCCTTCAAGTTTTATATCAAAATCAATGCGTCATCAAACATCAGTAACTGAAACAACAAATTTATCAAATCATTCACCTGTATCATCAGCATCAAATACGTTAAGTAATTTATCATCAGCATCACCATTATTCGATCATCCGACATCATTACCACCACCTTCACATTCATCATCATCATCAAATATGGATGATAATCGTTCATTGTCAAGTTTAAATTCACGTTCGTTATTAACAAATAAAAATGATCAAAATTCAGTAACAGGACAACCTTTACCACCACCACCTGATTTATCAAGTTTAGGAAGTAAATTAACAACAGCAAATATTACACAAACATTAAAATTACCAGCACCATTAACATCATCGACATCGGGATCAAATACCTTTCGATCAAAAAGTATGTAACTTTTAATTTTCAAAGAAACTAGATTTAATTATTTGATAGATTTCATATCTATCATTTACAATATTTATACTTTTAGTATTGAATTTGATAACTAAATTTAGATCTTTCCTATACAGTTAAACTAAATATGAAATTTAGTTCTCAAATAACATTTTTCTGAATATAAAATAAACTTCAATATTTCATTTTAATCCGAGACATTAGTCAATTATGAATTTATAAAATTCCTATGAGATTACTTAAAACTGATCATGAGAAAACATTTTACATAATTTATTCCATCATTCGGCGAACTATAACTATACGAAAAAAAATAATTTTTATCAATTTTCTTCTTCAAGATAAAATAGGATATTGAAAAAGATTTTCAAATCAATAAATATTTGTTTTTTTTCTCAATTTAGAACGATTTAATTTGTTTACTTGATAAATGTTATTTTATTCATATGGTATTTATTTCGAATGTTCGATTAACTAGTCAAAAAAACGAATTTATATTTACTTTTCGCATTAATTGTTTGATGATCGGATCCGTCCTTATTCACTTATGTAAACAAATGTTATTTAAATTTGTCTTGACAATGATAACGACGTAAAACTTCTTTATTTTTTACTTTGTTCTGTGTATTAAATAATATATTATTTTCCCTTCTTTCTGTACGCAAATGTTTTTTTACGAACAGTGTATCATATATATTCGCTGTTATTGTCTTATCTCTTACAATTCAATAAAACAAAAAAGGAAATTAACCATCTAGTTACTTTAAAATCAAACTCAGGAAAATAAACATTGACTTCGTTTAAAATCTGGTTTTTCTTCTTATGCTTTTTTTTTGTATTCTACTTTTCTTTTTCTCTACATTTTTCTTTCTTT